GCCGTGGGGGCCGACGGCGGAAGGGGCCGGTGCCCGGATTGACAGGGGTCTGGGGGCGCATCTGGCCTGGGACCCCGACCCCAGAAACGGGCGCTCGGAGCGCCACCGGCCCCGGGCGGGGGGCTGCAGCGTCTCTCGGTCCTTCCCGCCACCGCGCCCCCGCCCCCCAGGATTGACCGGTGCCCATTGTCAGCAAGTTATTCGTCCCCCGCCTCTTTCAGGTATTGTTTGCAAAGCTTCATCTTCGGTACTGTTTGCCTAGCGGCTTGCAGTTCACGGAGCGCTTCCTTCGTGCTGGGTGTGCTGCACCGGCCACCGGGAAACTTGAGTTGTGGAGGCATTTGTGGGCAGAACTGCTCTCTCTGCTCGATGCCAGAGCCTCCGGACCCCGCGGAAACCTGAGCGAAGTACTTGTGCTGCTCTGGGAATCTGCGCCACCGTATTTCTGCCTTTTAGGGGGCAGCTCCTGCAGAGGCCGAGCTGCCCTTTAACTTGGTCAACCCGGAAAGGCCTGCGTGCCGGCGTTCGGTACCCAGGAGGCCAGATGCCCAAGGTTAAAATCCAGACTAGCCGAGCTTGAGTAGGGGACGAACCTAAACAGAGCACCGGTACAGAGGGTTTAATTAGGGATAGCGAATTAGGACAGCGGGCTTCAGGAGATTTTATAGATACGTGGGTAACTTGCACCAAGACAGCCCGGAAATGTTGACAGATGCAGGTTCCCCTTTGCACAACCACCTTTGCATTTGAGAACCAGTGTGCTCTCTGGTATGTGTAGTTGCTTAGATTGTTGGTACCCCTCATTCTTTGTAGATTTGTCCCAAGCGTTCTCAGTAACTTCAGTTCCCTTACTCTTCGTTCATTCAAAGATAATTTGTTAAGGGGGCCCATTAAATGAAGGTCTTCACAGTTGGTGATGTGGAAAAGGTAGAAGAGAATTCAGGGAGTTTATGTTCTATGGTGAAAGGGCCATTCCTCTATTCAGTAAATATTTGTTGCCTGCTATGTGCCCGGGACTGTTCTCTGTGCTGGGGATAGAGCAATGAGCAGATTAAGTCCCTGGCCTCATGGAGCTTACATTTTTTGAAGGGAAGGGAAACGGGCAATAATTAAATATACCGTAGGCCATGTGCTGGTAAGTGCTGTAGAAAAAAAGTAAAGTGATATAAAGAGAATGGAGAGGGAAGAGATTTGCCACTTTTATACAGAGGGGTAAGAGAAGGCCTCTCTTACTTAATAAGGTGATGTTTTAGCAGAGTCTTGGAGAACCCTGGGGAGCAAGACATGTTATTTTCCATGGCAAGGGAACAGCAAGTGCAAGGCCTTATGGCAAGGGCATGGTTGGTGAGTTCAAGGAACATCAGTGGGGTGTGAAGTAAAGAGGAGGAAAAGCTGGGGGCTTGGGTGGGGACAGGCCCTCTAGGGCCCTGTAAGGACTTTGGCCTTTAACTCTGGGTAGGTGAATGGGTTTGAGGAAGAGGAGTGACATAATGTGGCCTGAGTTTTTACAGGATCATGCTAACTGCGTTGTGGAAGTGGGAGGACCAAAGGAGAAAAGGCCAGACCAGTTAGAGATTATCGCAGGAATCCAGGCAGCCCCAGGCAGGAACTTGGACTAGAGTAGTTGTGGTCAAGGTAGTAAGAAGCAGGAGATTCTGGATGTATTTTGAAGATGATAAGTAAGACATGTTTATGAATACTAATTTTGCCATAAAAGGAGTATAAACAAAGTGATGAAAAGGTGAAATCTCATCTGGCAGGGAATTAGAATAGGCTTTGTAAGGTTTGAACTGGACTTTTGACAAATGGATACAATTGACTTCTTTCAAGTACAAATGTTAAGTGATTTCCTTTGAAATAGAGAATTGCATTCAGGCTGTCCATGGAATGCCTGAAATTTCAAATATCAGGAGAAGAAAATAAAAATCAGAAGATTTTATAATAACAAACATGCTCCCTTCGAGTGTTACAGGTGTTGCCTTGTATGTTTTATGCTTTCTAGGGGGATGTCAGCATAAATGTTAAGGCTTAGGACCTAGCATTATTATACCTTTAGCTCAAATAGGGTATGAACTCATCCTGAATCACAGCGCTATTTTGTGTTTTATCAAAGAGTACTATCACAAAATGTTAACCCCTAGTGTTAATTAAATGAGGAAGGTGAAGAAAAATGCTCAACCAAGCAAACACTCAACTTTTTAAGAATTCTGTAAAAGGCTTTGAAGTGACAGGTTAGAAGTTACATACCAGAGCTACGTACGTCCTTCAAAGAAATCCATGTTAATGTATGAAACAAAAGAAAAATGGATGACATGCTTTGACCTTTTGAGATTTGCACTTGAGGTAACAGGAATATGATGATAGGGCACGGTTCTGGAAGCTGTACGTATGTTGCCTGCTTCTGGAAGCTGTACAAGACGGCAGCAGCCACAGCACTTTACATGATGTAAAAGGCACCAAACTCAGAGTTAAAATGGCTTGAGTTTCAGGGTCCGCTCTTCTTTAACGATCTTTTTAATATATAATAATAAACAGATAATATTTCTTGAGCTTAGCACCATGCTAAGCACTTTCCATATGTACTTGTGGTATTCCATCAAGTGATGCTGTGGTTAGCTTCGTTTTAGAGAGGAGGAATGTGTGACCAGAGAGATTCAAAGATCTTGCCCCAAGTCCCAGAGTAGGTAGCAGAGCTGAGATGCTTGCCATGTTCGAGACCCTTTAACCACCGCACCTCCTGGCTGGCCACTTCTTCATGTTGAGAACATTTTCCAGACTGTGATACATGATAAAAATAAAAAGTCACCCTGATTAAGATAGTGCATTCTAGCCCTCTGCTGACGGTTGGGATGTCACCTGTAAAAGTCAGTCTCAAAGTGAAAATTGGAAATCTGTATACTGCTCTTGAAATCATTCTGCTTCTATTCTTTTTTTTTTTTAAGATTTTATGTATTTGAGAGAGAGAGCACGAGTTGGGGGGTGGGCAGAGGGAGAGGGAGAAGCAGACTCCCCAAGCAGGGAGCCTGACGCAGGGCTCCAACCCAGGACCCTGAGATGGTGACCTTAACCAGACACTTGACCAACTGAGCCACCCAGGCACCCCTGCTTCTGTTCTTTTGTCATGCTGTATATATATAACTTGTCATCAAGGACAAAGCTCCAGTCTTTTTTCAGCTCTTTGATGCTATAAATTTGTGATGAAACAACAAAGTATTAAATCAAGTAGAGAATAAAGAACTTAGTGATAAATACCTTGATATTCAGTTCATCAGTCCTCCAGAACACTAACATAGCACAAAAATTATACCCACAGATGAAGTAAGAGCTGGTTCCTAGGGGCTCCTGGGTGGCTCACTCAGTTAAGCATCTGCCTTTGGCCCAGGTCATGATCCCAGGGTCCTGGGATTGAGCCCTGCATGGAGCTCCCTGCTCAGCGGAGAGTCTGCTTCTGCTTCTCCCTCTCCCTCTGCTGCTCCCCCTGCTTGTGCTTGCTCTCTCTCGCTCTCGTGTCAAATAAATAAATAAGATCTTTAAAAAAAAAAAAAAAAAGCTGGTTCCTAAATAATGATGTATGATACTATAAGGAATCATTTTGGAAACTTTCTACGAGGTGATGCAGTCTACCAGAATAACTAAGAGCACCCGTAAGAGTGCTTCAATTTTTTGAAGGTGCTGGCAATGGAATATTGCTCAGAACCTGGTAGGAAGCCAATTTAGAGTCGAAATGGAAAGCAGAGAGGTTTTCTATTTTATATCTCTTTAGATATTGATTTGTCTTATTTTTGCTTATAATGTACTTTATATTAAATATAGTACCCAATCCTCTGTGTAACCTAGAGGATTACATGGAAACAAAAAACTAATGCCTGGAGGGTTTTTTAAAGCATTCCATTTTTGAGTCTTTTCTTAGAATCTCATTTATAATTTCTGGTTTGAAGGAAAGGTTGTTTACAGGGGTGTAGTATTACTGCTTATTTACAGTTTACAAGGCTTCTCAAATTGACACCATCTGTATGTTTCTTCACTGTTAGCTCCCTCCATAATTGATTTGTTATTAGTCATGTATATGTGTCTCTGTCATTGTTGGAAGTAGGGTACAGAGTAATTTTATGAATCAGTGTATAAATGGAAAAAATATACCATTTTTTTTGAATTACAAATACTGTATGTTTGTAATATATGATGATTCCAATTTTAAGTTTTAAAATTTTGGTGGCGCCTGGGTGGCTCAGTTGGTTAACGTCCGCCTCATT